ATGTGTGTGGAGGCGACAAATAGGTGACCACAACAATGCACTAACCGTGGTCCGTAACCAATCCACTTCTTGAATCAGACATGCGACTGCATCTGGGAGCGGGATGCCTTGCCAGTGCACGTGCCTTAACAGTAATGCGAGCAGACGGAAGAATTCGGTTGACTGGGAGGCGAATTGTATTACATGGTTCTGCAACGAGCAACCGACAAAATACATGGATGAGAAACTATGAATGTACAAGCCAGCTCAGGTGTGAAGACCGTAAACTTGGCAATTATACAATCTTTATCAATGTCGGAAGAAAGTGTCTTAAATCTCAACCAATTAACGTGAATTCAAAAGTAACTAAGAACATTTTCGCTGTCATGTGATTGTCAAGTTGGGTTAAATTATTTAATTTTCAGGTAGGTTGAGCAATTAAACCCTGAACCACTGCAACATGTACTTTGGTATGATTTCTGTGAAATTAGACATTTAAGGGGCAGAGTTGCAGCTATCTGGTGCGACCTGAATAGGAAAACGGTCACAAGACTGGTGTCTAACCATAAATAACGCAGACTGAAGCTCACCGAATAATCAGCCTCTGACGGGCAGTGGTATGGCATGACGACAGGGTGGATTTCGTTTAACAACTGATCACCAACATTTCCCACTTTGAAGGTGCAAACACATGCCGAACAATGGCTTCACTAACTCATTTTTAATAAAGCAATCAGTTCTTGATTTAATTCATATATTCGAGGAGGTCTTCTGAAAGGGGATAATGAACCGAACTACTAACCAACAGCTTGTCTGGAACAACCCTGCTATTTTGCACATGGATGTGGGAACACTGGAGATTCTGTCTCAAACAAAAATGTCGAACGGCATTGGGAGCACAATTTGTAACTCCAATAAGGAATAGATGAAGCACTGTGGTTCCGAGACCGAGTTATTCTCTAGCAGGAGATCATCGTGTAAGCCTTACGTAGACCGGACATGGTGAATGGAACATCCTGTTTGCCAAATCTGTCTACATATTTTATATTGCACACATTTGTGTGACGAACAGCAGACGGGATGGACCCTCATAGTCACGAAAACTTGCTGTTCAGTGATGGAAACCGGTGACCTAAGCACCGGGACTTAAAATGGCGAACCACATGAGGTACCGTTGGGTCAGGCATGGTATTAGTTGATAGGAACAAGTAAACAGTTTTTCGAGTCCGTGTGTGCTGAGTATCAAAAATGAACTCAGAACCAAAATGTTACCACTCAGTACAGTGGTAACACTGCAATAAACTTACGGATAGAAACGAAAACAACAGTTGTACAATATGTAACGTAGGTTCCGAGGTCCAGCTCAGAAAAATATCTCCAAGCAACGGATCGGGTAAATCAATTGTAGGTAATGGGGATAGAGTGATCATCTGATACAAGCCATACAGCCCCGCGTAACGTAGTAATTCGGAACGAGAAAAAATCAAATCTTGCAGAAATCGTGACCAAGTGACTGTGCAGGTATTATCCAAACTCAGGACTGTAGTTGTCGTGCCAGTCAACAGGCTGATCAAGTGACAGTTTGGGAAGAGAGCCACGCAGAAAGGGAGACAGGAAATCGCCTCAATGGCAACCATACCAGTAGATTCACCGCATTGTAACGATTGAATAATTTGTTTGTAAAAGTCATCCATGCCCTCATTCGAGAAACATGGACGTCGGATACGGGTGGCCATCATCCCTGAAGCCTTAGATGCGGTAGATGACGGGGATAAGTTGCCTGAGCCGAAACTTTTCTCTGGACTGTTTTCCATACGTTTTGGTGACAGGGTGGACCATCGACGATGGGCGGCTGGATCTGAGTCTAAAAAGAAGCAAAACAAAATAGACCACATCTAGTTTTGTTGACAAATGTAAACAAAAGGATACACAATGTGCTCTGAAATGACATTTAATGTGCTTGAATGATAGCTAAAATGAGCGAAAGCGCGATATTGTATGGTACATTACTGTCAAGTTTGCAGCATGAGACACCTAAAAACGAAAGCGAACATAAAACATCAATGATGGATACAGAAAGGCTTTCTCATTATCAACCAAATAGTCCAATCAATATGTACGTAGAAGAAACTTAATACTGCACATTCTATTTGGACCCTACGCAGTTCGTACATAATAATTTTCCTCTAACTAGCGGTAATTCCGCTGATTTCCATTCAAAAGCGTTGACTATATATGAGAGCACGGGCTCTCGATGATGACGAGGTCAGAAGCGTGTTACGGTAAGGTAGTCTTTCATTGAGCGAAACCATTTCACAGAATCGTCGTGAGTGACTACGAATGTCAGAACGTCTGCCATACCGTGCGCTATTTGCAGACACTGCTCCGGACTGGAAGACGCAGCGAGGTGGTCAAGCTATGGCGTGGCGTAAAACAAACAAAAAAAGTTAAAATGACATGCACTACAGAAGCGAAAACACGTTATATATATATATATATATATACGATGGCGTAGTGGTTTGGTCGTTGTCACTGGCGCGCTTTGAACCCTATGGTTCAAGGTTTGAGCCTCTATACCACCACCCAACTTTGGTAGTAGGCAGATTTGCTGTCGTCCGGTTCGTTGCCACCTCTGACAGAACTCTTCGGAACTTAAAAGTAGCATAATATTGCCAAATTTAGAGCTGAAGACAGTTCAGAGCCGTCGTCGTGGGAACTGCTGTGATCTCGCATTCGAGCGTTTTTCGTGGAGGCGGCTCATCAAACAGAGAGAGAAAATTATAAAAGACAGTAGAGCCTACAATGGGCTTCGCTTTTTAAACAAAGTTCCACCGCCACGTGGTTTGGTAACTCACAAACTCTGGATGCGAATCACCGCACTCCTTGGAGTTTCGGCCGTGCAGTTCGAAATTGGACAACTGTTTACGCTTTTTACAGCGGATACACTTGACTGTTCACGTCTACATCAATTCATCAATTTTTTCAAGGTCAAATGCTGACCTGCAATTCCGAAATTATGAAATCCCTTTGTTTTCGCGAATGATGTCGGAATTTTAGCGTTTGCTCATTCCGTGAGGGAGCGTTACAGACGGTTAAGAAATAAACGTCAAGGTCACCATAATAAGCATCGCGGTGGCTGGTGGGTTGTGCTCAGGCAAAGTTCTATCAACAGAATGACGATCCCGTCCATTTGTTTGAGTAACATTCGCTCACTTGTGGGAAAAATCGATGACGTCCAGAATCTGGTGCA